TCGGATAATATTTAGCGGGTAAAATAGACCATATCTTTTGTGTTGAAAAAATTCAAAATTTTTCATTAAACCGCGAATATTTTAAATCCCGGCGAAATCACAAAGCCATGACAATGTTACTTCTGATCTTTACATTGATGTTAACATCCAACAAATCGGATATATAGCAAAATATGTGCGATATATATGTCTATCAAGGAAGATATGCTTGAAAGATCTCTTATATGTCGAGAACGGCTTAACTGATTTCGACAGTTCTCATTAATTCAGAATGGCCTCCTGGCAAGAAAGATAAAACGTCTAAAAAATCGCATAAAAATATCTCTCTAAAGATGAAAATATTGATTTTGTAACATTTTCTCATATTTTTTCAATTTTGTCATTTTTTTGGCATATTTTCATTTTGAATTAAACATTTGGTAATATTTCTACAGCTAACAAAACTAAGTAGTTAGGATATCAGGATATCATACACAGATCGCCCGATCCTTACGAAATTTTGCATGGGTATAAGATGTGGGTCAGAATAGAAGCCTACTCTTTTTGGAGATGATCGCAATATATTTAGGGGTTGAAATGGACCAAAAAACTGCAAAATTGTCAGCAGGTCGTAATTATCGCCCGATCCTCACGCACATTTGAATGGGGGTTACCGCACATTACAAAAGCCAAGCAGTTTCTTATGGCCATCCAAAAATATTCAATGTGTGAAATAGTTTGTCAACTTTTGTAGACAAAATACGAAAATGTCCATTCCAGTGACTTTTTGGAGAATTCACAAATACAGGAAAGACGCACTTCTGACTATTTCGTTAACGCTGATTTCGTGGAAGAATATAGTCAAATGTCTGTATCTCATATAGATGCGTTTCAGTCAAAAACCAATAATAAATGTTAATCTTTTGCCACTTCTGAGAGATTATAGGTCTTTGGGAAATATTGGTTCCAAATCTAGGAAGACCGTTTACGTGCAACATTTACCAATAAATTGGAAATCAGCAAATTAGTTTATGTTGCTATTATTCGAAAATTAGAGAACGAAACTTGATGGTTTTCTTTTATTATTTGTCATATAAACTGTATCGTTTATTATAGTGTTGTAGGGTATTCAACAGTCGGCCCCGCTCGACTGTAGCCTTTGCTTACTTGTTTATTACAAAACTTTACGATTGTTGAAAGCGATTTGGCCAAAAAAAATTTTTGCTTTGCCAGACAGAGCTAAATATAAAATATCATTGTTCTGGCTCTAAATGTTCAATATTTTGTACTTTTTTCCCCCTTTTGTAGTACGAGTTGCCACAAAACATCACCTTATCGCCCACCCATCTGTGGATCTATTTTAGTGCAACAACTCAGTTTTTGGTGCATTATAGTACGCATTTCCAATTGGACCGTACTGGAATAAATGACAACTATTATTCTTCACTCACGAAAGGTGTAAATTTTAATGTTGTCGAAATTTACGTTTTTTTTTTTGGGGGGATTTATCATTCGTGTTGGTAGTTAATTACCTTTACCTTTTGTCTTCTTTTATTTTTGATTGGCAATAAAAAATCATAACAGAATGTCTTGGCCCAACAAAAAAGGGATGACGAACATAAAAATTTTACTGCCACAGAGGCACTGATAGCCCAGATTGACAATGATGATGGTCCCTTGGTTGTGGTTGGTGGTGGTATTGCGGTGAGGCTGGCTCACGTACCTCGGAGGATATTAAAAGAAACCCACAATGCCCACAATGTTGTAACGCGTCTTTCATCCGATATCAAGGAGGGGGAAATCGTCGTGTTTACGTGATTTTATTTTATTGCCCCGATTGACTTACGGAATAGGAAAAATGCGGTTTCGGGGGATGATTTGCGAAAAACAAACAAACAAAACAAATGACAATCGGCACTTACAATGGGTGATTGCTCTTTTTAACCAACCCCCCTCCCGTGAACACAATGTGACAAACAATAACCACGACAAATTGGTTATTTGTGGTTAATTTTCATATTTATTTCATGTTCTGGTTTTTGCCTGTGTTCTGCTGGAAAAAAAGAATCATTGGCAATTTAAGGTGAAAGGACAAGTGGGCGTGTCACATTAATGTTGCAATAATACGAAACTCAAGCCTTTTCAGACATTGACAGTGCGTGAGGTGAAAAATTCCCTGCCTATTCTACAGCTTCTGGGGAGGAGTGGACAAACACATGCTACTCTTGATGTTTGCACTGATCTTTCGCGTCGCTTTCACTCGCTCCTCGAGTTGCAGCAGTTGTGGCATGAACTGATTTGCTATGTGGCACGTTACACGGTGCATGTGTTGTTTGGCCACATCCGAGGTGTGAGATGTCTAAGTGAGTGTGTTAATGCGACAATTATACACCATCACAAACAATGCATGTGTGTTTGCGTAGTTGTTGTTGTTGTACTTTGCGATACGAGATTGCAACAAATTGTGGTAATTAACACGCTCGTTATGGTTTAATTGAAAAGCCAACTGTCGCGTGTATTAACATCAAAAAGTGATTTGTTTTAATGATGAATAAAATGCGAACAACAACGAAATTGCAACAAAGACAATGTCATAGAAGCGTTCCTTTGCCACAAGCAATGCAATTGAAAGCAGGAACAAGTTGTGTAAATTGATGCACCAAAGAAATTTTAAAATTCGAAATCGTATTGGTTTAAACTCTTTGAAATAAATGGAAGGAATTTATAATCGGTCGTTACTGCTGTGTAAGGCTTACACACTCCAGCTTCTAAATTTGTTCTCTGCAAGGATGTTTCCCACATACTGGGAACACATACTCTCAATTGTCACTAAAAGACCCAAAGAATCTAAAATCTGCGATAAACTTATATGGGGCTGTAACAAACTGTTGACCTAAAAAGTCAATTTTCAATACTAACAAGTAAGCAAAGGCTATAGTGGTGCGGGGCCGACTATGTTATACCCATGGTACAATGAAGAGAAGGTAGGTCAACTTTGAATTGCAAGTATAGAAATTGCAAATATAGAGGTCTACCTGTTTGGCTTGTAATGTCAGAATTAGTATCAAAACAATAAAAAATCAAACAACTTGTTGCATTTATTTTGAATAAATAATTAAAAACCGCGATAACTGAATGAAAGGCCAACACTTCTTTTCAAAATCATGTACTATATGTCTCTAAAGGATTATTTCGCTACAAAACTCTAGATTTTGTCGATGCATGCGTTGAATTGAACATTTTGAAAACACCCGCATTTGAATGTTTTCTGAACAATTTTTTTGTTATTGAGAAGAAAACACATACATAAACAAAAAAAGATGGCGTATTAGGCCAAGAAAATAAAAATATTGAAATCATATGGTAGTTCTGCCCTACCTTGATATCATTGTACCATGGTTATACCCTACAACACTACAATATGTTAGAAGCCCCCTTATGTTTAAATTCATATTGGAAGATTTCGCTTTTGAAATTAGGATTTTGACTAGGGACATTTGCCCAATATTTATGCACTCCGTCGAGCTGTTAGTTGTTTTTACAGCAAAATATAATCCAATGGTCATCCAAAATGCTAGAATTCTTCCCTGTCCTTAACTCTCTTCACAGGCGTGTCGATTGGCTTCAATTGTGTGATCGGAAAAATATTTCTGGTTTTTGTTTAATTTGAACCCCTAAATATTTTGCAATCATCTCCAAGAGTAAGAATTATATCATCTATATGATTTGTTTGTCTACGTCTTTGGCTATATTCGTCAACGAAATCAGCATAAATAAGCCAGAAGTTCGCCTTTTGTGTATTTCAGATATCGCCTGTAAGTAATGCTGGAATTTTTTTCACACAAAAGTAGTGGTCTATTGTACCCGCTGTCCTAAACTCTAACTTTATGCGAGATTTCGTGTCCTTTGGTTTCTATTTGTGACCTTTATAACGGCTGCAAAATCGGGAACATTTTTAGTTGTTGGTCCATTTCAACCCCTAATATTTTGCGGACATCTTTGAAAACAATAGGTCTAGCCCTTCTGAGTCCAACCCTACCCTTATGAAAATTTTCGTGAGGATCGGACGATATTTGCAATACTTATATAATATCCCCAACCTGTGTTGTAAGGTGAAAAAATACTTCAAAATATTAAAAGTCAAATTGAAAAAATCGCATGCGATAAAAAAAATGAAAAATTAAAAAATGTCACAAAATACTACAAAATCTATATTAACATCATTATTGATACCTTTTTATGCGATTTTTTAAGATTTTATTCCTTTTGTGTCAAGAGGGCAATCTGAATTGACAAAATTTGTCAAAATCGGTCCAGCCATTCTTGAGATATAAGCATTCTAACTAACATCCCCTTCCTTTGTATATGCACATTGTATATATTTCGCTATATATAACCGATATATTTACTATCGGCATCTACGTAACGGTCAGAATTAACCTGTTCGTCTATTTGTGATTTCGCCGAGATTTAAAATATTCGCGGTTTAATGGAAAATTTGACTTTTATTTAACACAAATGTAATGGTATATTTCACCTACTAAATATTACCGAATGACCATCAAAATTGGAAAGCTTCTGTCCAGCCCTAAGCTCTAGCCCCATGCTAACTTCCGCTTTGATTGGTCTATAATTGCGAACTGTAGAGCAACTGCAAAATCAGGAATTTTTTCAGTTTTTGGTCCATTTTAACCCCTAAATATTATCCGAACATCTCCAAAAGAAACAGGGTTCTATTCTGACCCTAGGTCCACCTCCATTCTAAATTTCGTGAAGATCGGGCCATAATTGCGACCTGTAGAGTGATTACAAATTAACATGGACAGACGGACGGATCGACACAGCTCGGCGAGATAGGAAGATCCATAAACACTTTCCTACAGTTGAGTAGAATTTTAGTAACCCACTTTTGTTCGGAAGCTAGAGTGATTTCCCCGGACGGATAGATAGATTGACGGAGATCGCTAAATCGACATAGATTTTATTCTGATCAAACATATATATATATATATATATATACACTGAGGGAAAAATCCCGTTGCGAAATCAAGCACGTATGTTGTCATTTTCGCAACGACCCGTTGTTATATTTTTCAACAACGGCTGTTGGTGAATTGTGCACGAACGTGCTCAAATTGACACCGAGACGTGGTCAACTTTCGGTACCAACAACAGCCGTGCTTAATTTGTCCATTTGTAATATTGGTAATTGCAGCCGATTACACACGAGTAAAAAATGACAACGGTGGTGCATGATTCACACACGGTCGTTGTCAATATGACACCGGTCGTGTATGAATTATGCACCACCACCTGCATAATGATGCACCACCGTTGTTACTTTGTACACCGACGTGCATGAATCGTACACGATCGTTGCCATTTTAGCAACTACCGTGTATGAATCATGCACCACCGTTGTCATTTTTTTACTCGTGTGCAATCGGCTGCATATTTACCATTTTTTTCCGTGTTATTGAAAGAGAAAGGACGCATTGTGCAAAAAATTTATTGAAAATGAATAATAATTCGCAAGATCCTCAAAATATCATTGGTGAGTTGTTAGAAATCGATGGCAATATTGTTGTGGTTCGCGATACAAACCATTGCAGCAGTCAAGATGCGGAAAACAATGAGGACGATTATATGTTAAGGGAGTTCTTAAAAGGAATAAATATGGAGTCGCTTTTTGAACAATTAAAAGGTAAGTAAATAAAAATGAATTTTTCAGTTAATCAGTGTAATTAACAAAGAATTTTCTTTTTTGTTCTTTTAGCATCACATGTAACATTTCGCAGCTTGCAGTACTTGAAAAAAGAAGATTTAAAGGAAGCAGTGCCACCATTGGGACTGCGTGTTGAATTCAGAGAAAAGCTCTTTGCTTGGAAAAAACGAAAGGTACGTATTATTTGTTTTACAGAGTTGAACTCAGTATTAATATTGTCATAACAATAGCTCGGGATTGATGACGAAACTATGTCAGTTCCATCTAAAATAGGTGAATGGTGGAAACGCAACGAGACACCTGCAAGTACTCCTGGTACTCCCGACACTACAGGTTCGAACTGCTCAAAAGCCAAAGGAATTTTGTCAGAGGTAAGGTAAGAGTAATATTTGTGTAAGCATAGTTAATGTAGTTTTTTTATTTAATATAGGATCTAACGGAATTGTTAACACATACCTCGAAGGGGAAACTAGCGCTTGAATGTAGTAGCGTTAATAAGAAATTAAGTGACGAGCAAAGAGATGATATAATTAATATAATTATTGAAGATATTTTAACCAACAATGTTACTCTTTACACTCAAGACTATATGCGCATATTGGATGAAATTTGTTCCGTTTTTCCTCTTGAAAACGAAATGAGGGTAAGATTAACAATATAAACAACGTATCTGATTATGTAGTTTCTTAACTTATAATATGTCTTTATTTTTAGGATTATTATTACATTTCAAGAAAAGGAAAGAACAACGCAAGCGGAAAACTTTATGCCAAGTATAGAAACAAGAAGTCCAAAAGAATAAAGCTTTTGATTTCCGAGCCTAGCACAAGCAAAGCAGCAACTCACACATCTCCTAATTTTTGTAACAAAGATGTTCCCGAAATTGATGAATCAGTTGAAAATTCATTGAAAGCTTCCTTACTAAGAGAATGTAATGATTGGGGATCGATCTGCGAAAAATGGAAAAGATCTTTTAACATACGGCAAAGAGATATAAAAAATTTAAGTAGCCATACATTTCTCCTTGAATGGACGAAGTTGTCCGATGCAAGAGCTTCAGAATTGGTAAGTAGCCATGAGCTATTTATTTGTATATGGATACTAATGTTTCGTTTTAGGTCAACATTGATTTCGATATTATGTATCCACAGAAAGGCAATCTTCTACTTTCTAAATGGGACCAATTTAAGAAAAAAATTTACAATTATTATGGGAAAAATATTCATAACGAACATTGCAAACAACTCTTCGCAAATGTTTTGACGGCAAGCAGCATAGGTAAATTTTAATTCCTGATTTATCATAAACATTAAAAGTAATATTTATTTTATATTTCGGTTGCAGATGCTCAAGATTATATATACGCAATACTGTTGAATTCAGTTTTACCATCACCTGCTAGGTTTAAATGTGGAAACGGTAAATTACGAAAAAAAGTAACAATAGCTGATTCGCAGGAAAGTTTCGTACTGCGACTACCGACAATTAACGATTATAAAAGGCAAATTGATACAGTCACTGAAAAGTATTACAATGCTGGATTAACTATACAGCCATTTATAATTGTGGAGGGTTTGTCCGATTTCAATATAAAAGGTTTTTATGTTTTTTTTAACCACAATTTGTTAAAATTTCAATCGTTCCTCGAATGTTTAGATACATGTTTTAAAATTTTTCATGCACTTTCTTTAAAATATCCAAATGCCTGCCAAATTCCATGGATTTTTATCCAAAAATATTTTTATGAAATTAATACTGTATATGATATAAAATCAGTTAATTTGACTTCACTTATTAATTTCTGCAACAATAATTAAAGTACAATTCAAAATGTATATTTGCTTTCGTTGCCGTAAGCATTTTGATAAGGCAAATCTTTTAATAGCTCATTTGAAAACAGACCATTTAATGTCCACTAAATTTTTAAAAGTACAATGCGTTCAGGACAACTGTAAGCAAACATTTACAAAATTTACGTCATTCAGAATTCATTTAGAAAAACTTCACAAGAATCACACAAAAGCTCCACCAATGGTTAAAGCCATTAATGTGCCAGTTGAAATGTCATCATCAAAAGAAAATGATTATACAAACAGTGAAACTGTTATTAACAACAATACAATAGAAAAGGATTTAAATGTTTTGAAAAAGAAAACCTTATATCTGTCTTTACAATTACATGGTCAAAGCTATATGCCTAGAAATCATGTTATAGAAATACAACATTCTGTTTCAATTCTGCTTTCATCCATTTCATGTACAATTGAAAAATATATAACTGATCATCCAAATTATGAAGACTTAAGGTACTTACTAAACTTTTGTAAAAATCCTTTCGAAGAAACTAGAACGGAATATAGACTTTTAAAAATTTTAAAAGAACTAAACTTTTATGATGATCCAAAGGTTTATGTAATTAGCAATCAAGTCTCGGAAATTGTTATCAGCGGAAATCCCAGTTTAGGTCCAAAGTTATCCAATATTTATATAATGCCACTGAAATTCATGATAAGTGCCCTTTTTAAAATTCCAAATCTCTTAGATTTGACATTAGAAAACTCCAAAAAATTCCTAAATTCACCTGTTTTACAAAATTTTACAAACGGTGAGTTATATAAAACTAAATTATTAAAATATCAGTACAATTTAGTTATTCCCTATGTCCTTTACATGGATGATTTTCAAATTAATAATCCTCTTGGAACCCATACATTTTCCATATGTGGTTGTTATATTAGCTTTCCTTCAATGCCACAGCACTTGTTGTCAAAACTTGATTATATATTAACTGCTGCGTTTATACCATCAAAGGATTTAAAAGAACGTGGAAATGAAGTTTCATTTCACAATCTTGTAGAAGAGTTAAAAATTCTAGAAGAAGGGGTTGAAATTTGTGTTCAACAAAGTGTTCAGAAGGTGCATTTTATTTAGGTGTAATTATTGGAGATAATTTAGCAGTTAATAGTATTTTAGGCTACGTGCAATCATTTAACTCTAAAAGATTTTGCCGGGTATGTAGAAGAAAAAAGTCCCAAATGCAATTCGACGCAATTCAGCATTTAGATAGTTTAAGAAACCAAGAGAATTACAACTCAAATGTATTGGAAAATAATTTTCAAGAAACAGGTATTAAAAACAAGTGTATCTTCGAATCTTTACCAAATTTTAACGTCACTGAAAATTTTTGTTTTGATATTATGCATGACATTTTCGAGGGCATATGTGTCTACGATATGTCTAATGTAATTCTCGGGCTGATTCAAGAAAATATTGTTACGTTAGATTGTATTAACAGCAGAAAATCTTTATTCCAATTTGGAGAAATTGAAGTGGGAAATAAATCTGGACCACTAGATTTATGTAGATTGAAAAACTATAACTTAAAAATGACAGCTAGTGAAACTATGTGTTTTACTAATTTTTTACCTTTAATGGTAGGCGATTTAATTCCTTTCTCCAACGATCACTGGAAAGTTTTTATAATATTATTACAAATAATCGATTTACTTTTAAGACCAAGTTATATAGAAGACGATTTAATAAAATTGGAAGAATTAATTAGAGATCACCATTCACTTTATATAACATTATACGGTTCGTTAAAACCGAAACACCACTTTCTTGTCCACTATCCCACAGCTATCCGAAAATGTGGTCCCCTTAAATATCTCTGGAGCATGAGATTCGAAGCTAAACACAAGGAAGCAAAAGCCTATTTAGGAAATACTACATCAAGAGTAAATCCCTGTCGTTCATTATCTATTAAGTCTGGATTGAAATTTTCCAATTTTTTATTAAAACACGAAGATAACTTAGAACCAAATGTTATCATTAATACGCATACCATCGAAGATTTGGCAAAAGAGGAATATTGTTACAAAAAAGTAAGCCAGTTTTAAATTACCAAAATTGCAAAGTGTCTGATGACATTTTTTTTAAGGGAACTAGGTATAAAAAAAACTATTATTTAGCAACAAATAATGCCGCAATTGAACTTTTCAAAATTAAACATTTAATAATTGAAAATGAAAATGTTTACATTTTATGTAACCAAGTAAAAGTTAAAAACTTTGATTACCATTTACAATCGTATGAAGTTGGTTCTCTGAATGAGGATACAATTTTTTTAATACCAATTTTAGATTTTATTACTTACCCATTTCACTTATATCCTATGAATAATGGAAAAGTTTATTTCAGATTTAAGTTAATTTAATTTGTTTCTATACATTGAATATATGTAATTCGAATTGTTTTGTTAAATCAAATATGTATTTATATTGAATTTATGTAATTGGTTTCGTTCAATAAAATACTTTTCAAAAAATGTCGTTTCTTCTACTAAGGGTATAAAATGGAAAAGGAACGGATATCAAAAAATGACCACCATTGATTTCAATCTGACAACGGGCGTTGACAATCCGACAACGGAGCGTTGACAATCTGACAACGAAGCGTTGACGATCTGACAACGAAGCGTTGACAATCTGACAACGGGGCGTGCTCGAAATGACCACGTATGTGCTCATTTCATGCACATCTGTTGTTGAAATCGTTGCCAAAATCTCGGTGTCAAAATGACAACAGCGTGCTCATTTTGACACCAAACGTGGTTGATACACTATCATACACGGATGTGGTCATTTCATACACGGATGTTGTCATTTTTTCTCTGGGTGTATATATATATATATATATATATATATATATATATATATATATATATATATATATATATATACTTTGTGAGGTCTAAAATATATATTTTAGGGGCTACAAACGGGCCACACTGTGCTCATATACACTTATCAAGGGCCTTTGATACGGTCAATCATGCCACGTTGTTGGAGGACTTTGAGAATACTGCCATTCGGCCGTCGTTGAAACATTATATGTGCCGACTCCAGTCGTACGTAGAATTCTAGAACAAGAAGTCCAAGCCTCTTAAAGTGAAGTAGGAAGGTCCCCAAGATGCGGCGATATTTTCGGTACTGTTTAACCTCTCCGAAATTCTGTGCCCTAAAGACGGCAGGGATGACTTTACGATCATTGCTTCCTGTCGTTGATGGCAGGTGTGTCTATCTTACGGAGCTACTCGGCTCTTCCATGCGAGGAATATGAAAATATCCGCCACAAAATCAACGGATTGCGGAAATGAGAATACACATGGAATGCGGAAATGAGAACACAGCTGAATGTGCAGGTCGAAGGGCACATAATTCCGATCACTGACTACATCAAAATCTTGGAGTCACATTTGACAGCAAGTTCAAGACGTTCGCGTAAGCCACAGCTGTCTGCGATAAATTGAAAAGTAGAAACAAGGTCCTAAAGGCGATAGACGGCAGCACTTTGGGAGCGTATGAGAAACCTCGTTGACCTCTTATAAAACGATAGCTAGGTTTGAGTGTAGCAATGCGGCACCATTGTGATCTGCATTAGTATGAATTCACTAATGCAGTCACCGATGGAGGTAATGAATGCCATCCTCGGAGTGGTCTTAGACCCTAGGACTCGTTGGACGAAATCGGTTTCGATATCGAAATCGATAACTCTAGAAGGGAGTATCCGATTTTGTTCAAACTTTATACATCATAATATTTTTATCAAACTGAGATCGAGTTCGAAGATGGGAAATATCGGAGCATTCTTTTCCTCAAACGATCAAAATGTTCAAAGAAAATAATTTACAATTTTTGAGTTTTGCCTTGTTAGGGCGAAGATCATTTGTTTAAGATTTCGCTTCAAATTTCCAATCGTTTGCTCGATTCGAATGGGAAATATACATGATCTTCTGAGCCTGGGTGGGATTTGAACAATGGATCGCGGTGAGCAGCCAACTAGAAGTTGCCATCTCAACGTTCAATACATACGTAAATGCTTAAATGCTGAGGGTATATATCTGTTGGCAAACCGAGTGATTTCTTATACGATTGCCAGACTGTGATTCAGGATATTATGTCTTTGTGCATTTGTTTGTAACATGCAGAAGTAAACGAAATAGACCCATAGTTCCTATTGATGATCATCGTAGAATCACATTTTGAGTCGATTCATGGTTGTCCGTCTGTGCATGTATTTTTGTAAACAAAGTACAGGTCGCATTTATTGTCCGATTACGATGCAATTTGGTGAGAATCGGTCCAAATTTAGAAATAGCTCCCACACAGATTTTCGTCCGATTTCAGTTTATTTTGCACCACATGTTTAATATTCGTCCAACTATTTCGGTGCATCCGACAGAATTCAGCCTAGAGGCAAATACTTCACATTTGGTGAAAATCGGTTTAAATACAGGGTATGATGAAAAAACTGCAACCATCTTCTTCAGACTGCTGTCATTTCCAAGCCACTCGTCCGACAGCTATTAAAATTATTCCATTGACAGCTCATTATATTGTTTACATCTTTCTCCGATGAGAAAACATTCTTTGTCCAGCAGTTCGTAAACAAACTAAATGATCGTGTTTACTTGCCAAAGAGGTCAGCTGAAAATGTGCACCTTCGGTTGGCCAGCACAACTCAAGCGCCGGCCATGTTGATGATGTGGGCCTCCATAACAGCCGATGGTAGCTCTCTGCTTGTATTAATCGACCGTGGCATCAGAATAAATGCCAAATATTATCGCGAAAATATTCTGGAGGGTGTATTAAAGGCTTGGGCACGCAAACATTTTGGCCGCAGACTTGGACATTCCAACAGGACTCAGCACCATCGCACTCAGCACGCGCCACCCAAGAATGGTTACAAAATGAGGTTCCTCGCTTCATTTCCAGCGCAAAATGGCCATCAACATCTCCAGATACCAATCCGTTGGACTATTGTGTACAAATTATTGTACATGTAACCCAAAAGGCCTGCATCACATTTCGCAGTTCTATCTTAAATTTTGCGAAGTATCTAGCAAAATATGTGAGACCCTTTGGCTAATGATATATATATATATATATATATATATATATATATATATATATATATATATATATATATATATATATATATATATATATATATATATATATATATATAAAAGTTCGATCTGGGAACCCAAAACTCTTTTGGGATTTTTATCCCCACAGATTTGCACAGTGTAATTAGCATACAAATAGTTACTTGACAAAAAATCTTATTACTGCTCT